TAACTGAATAAACGATAGAATGGCCTGATGCATTAGTGAGTAGGCCCTAAAATCTAGTGCAGTGGTCCTCACCTGCTAGCTAGCATGATTCAGAATTTCCAGATGGACTTGTTAAAACAACAGTTGCTGGGTACCACCCCAAGAGTGTTTTATTAATAGATCTGGGGTAGGACTAAGAATTCGCATTTTGCATTTCTAACAAACTCCCAGATGCTGCTGCTGCTACTGGTCTTGGGATTGCAATCTTAAGAACCACAAATTTAGTGAGTCACCTTTGAGGGTGAAAAATAGGAATGAAGTCTAAATATCTACCCTGGCAATCAGTAGGCATATGCCATTTAACCTGGTCTGACGTATTAAATAGGGATTTGAGCGAGACCTCACTGCTTTGCAGCTATGAGGATAAAATGAGATTAAGAGGATACACTTTGAAGATATGAACACCTTATTAGTGCATTTAAAAAAATTTTTTATACATTCGTCATATCTTTCCATTTTTCTATCTATTAAGCCATCTCTCCTTTTTATTCAAAATTTACCTCAGGCTCACCCACTTTGATTAAGTAGGGCCTTACACCACCAAATCTCCATAATGAGATTGAAAATACCTCATCCTTTCTTCTAACGTCCAAAAAACTTAATCTTTGTTGATTAATTTTCCTATCCTCACATTTGAAAATTACAAATGGAAAAGAAAGGTGTGCTTTTCAACTTGTTCTATGTGATTGTAAGCTCATCGGAGGTTAGAGATTGCATATTCAGTATGAATGCCCTCCATTGTGGCTGCTTGAATATTAAATTGGTGAATATTTCCTGTGAATAGGTTTTCCAGCAAAAGACTATTACATCATACAATAGATTGACTGAACTTCATGAATAATGTCCATACCAATGAAGTTCATGTTTGTTAAACATTTATCTTCTAAGCCTGTGTTGGTTGCTATATTTTTCTTGCCTCTATTGACTCTTTTAAAGAATTTATTTCAAAGCCACTTTAAGGTTTTTGGCAGCATTTTTGTGATGATAAAGTTTACATCTGTTCTGATGAATTTTGAGTTCTCAAGAGGAAAGGAGTTCTGTGTTCCCTGTTTGAAATGTTAATCTCTAGCTACTTTTCATTGGCCACTAGGTGGACCCAAAGAAACGAATTTCTATGAAAAATCTATTGAGCCATCCCTGGATCATGCAAGATTACAGTTGTCCTGTAGAGTGGCAAAGCAAGAATCCTGTAAGTAAAATGAAATCCAGTAGAATTTTGTTTAAGCATGATATCATTATGTGAATTCAGGACCTACAGTGATATGTTTAAATACAAAGTAAAATATGTTTTGTAGATTTACCAGATTAGTGTTTGGGAGACTTGTAACCTAATTATGGACTTGCTGGGACAGTGGGTCTTAACCTGGTTGCATGTGAGCATCAACTGGGACTGTTTAAAAAAAAAACTGTAACTCATGACTCATCCTAGAATAATTAAAGGATATTTTTGAAAGTTCCCAGGTGTTTCTCATGTGTAGTCAGGATTGTGAACAGTGACCTGGGAATCATGGGTAAATTACTTAATATTGCCAAACTTATTTATTCATCTGTAAAAAGAAGGGTATGATTTCTATTTCCCAGAATAGTTATGAGGTGATAGAGGTGCTCAAATGTTGATCTCTGAAGAGCCCTTAACATTCACTATTATTGATTCATTTACAAGTAATAGTAGTAAACCACTTTATTTATCACAAGTAAATATTGAGTGATGATAGTAATATTGTTTAACATTTTTGCAAATTTCTCTAACGTCTATTTGAACAGAGGATACTTGGGTCTCATTTGCTCCTGATTTGTTATTTTAGTTGAAATGTTTGAAGAAAATACACCCTTCTGTAGACTATCAGGAAAATGGGTGATTTTAATAGCTTTTCATATATTTGAGGATATTCTGATATCCAATTAAAAGTTGTGCAGCGGGTTAAAGCTCAGCACTATGAAACTAGTTGCAGTCACTGAAGCATGAGTTTGATCTCCAGCCAGGGAGGGGACCTACATGGCGCAGCAGACCTCTCCTATCTCTCCCGCTGCGCCCCTCAGCGCATTTGCCTTTGTCATTCTGCCTATTCTGCTCCCCACTCTGTCTCTGGTGAATCCTCTCACCTATATCTCTGGCCAGTACCCCAATTCTTGTATGCATAAATAAATAAATCTTTATAAAAAGATTGACAATGGTAATTTCTTAAAGGTTTAGTTGCATGTGGAATCTGAAACCACATGTGAACTTTTTATACAGTATTACACTGAACTCCACTAGCTCTCATGTAAACTTATGCGTTGATCATTTAGAAAATATTGTCTGGCACAGTTATGCAGATTTTTTAAATCTTAACACTTTTTTATATAATATCTTAAAAATAACCTTCCTTAAAATCAGTTGACCTCATCAGAAAAATCTTTAAGAATTGAAAAGCTGTCAAGTTCATGGTGGCCGGTAGAACTTTTCCAACATTCTAATTTTTGTTTGAAAGCCCAAACTATATCACAGCAACAAATAACTGTCAGTTGTTTTCCTTGAAGTGACAATTTCACTTTATTCACTTGAGAAAATGTCTGCCAGATAGCTAGGTCTAAATAACAATAGTCTGTCAGTGTTTTTTCAAGGAAAAGTGGTGTTTCTGTGAAGAAGATGGCAGTGTCTGCTCCAGGCTGAGCCACACAGGTGCTTTTCCTGAAGGCACCACCATACTTTGGTATGCAGAAGTATTACATGTGAACTCCCCATTTTGTCACACAGCATATTAAAAACATGTATATTCAATGGCCAAAATAGAATAAAATGCATACTTTTTACTGCTTCATCAAAATCAATTTCAATTTTTTAATTGAAACTGAGTTTTAAAAAATTTTCAACTGTGAGTGCATGACAAAGAATATAGTGTTTTAGTACAGTTTGATGCTTCTACATTGATTCATACTAAGGCATCAGCAGTTTTACTCATCACTGCTTTTGCACTAGCCGTGCAAATATCAACACTATGAAAATGAAAACAGTATCATTATAAAAAGTGTTGACCTTGGAGACTCCTCTGGGCTCTGTGGACCATATCTTGAGAACTGGTCTCAGATGTATATGAAAGAACTTACATAATAAAGTGCTATGCCACTTTACACTCTTATTTGACTAATTTTTCCTTATTTGAATAATTGTTGTGACAAATGGCAATTTGACTTCAGTAGAAAACGTGAACATTACTAAAGGATATGTATATATTGTGTAATATTAGTTAACTATTGCTGTGCTAAAAAAACCACTCCAAAATTTAGTAGCTATAGCATACAACAATAATTTCCAATTCTGTGGAGCAGCAGTTTAGGCTGGCTCAACTTGGCAGGGTTTTTTTTTAATATTTATTTTTTGCATAGAAGAACTGGGGTATAGTCCAGAGGTCCAGTAGGTAAGAGGATTCACCAGAGATGAAGTGGGGAGTGGAATAGGTAGATTTACTGAAATACACTGCTAAGGGGAGCAGTGATCAAGACAGGAGAGGTCTGCTGTGCTACGTGGGTTAGACCCCTAGCCAGGATCAAACTCAGGCCATAAAGGTGATAGTGCTGAGGCTTAACCCCTAGGCCATCAAGGAGGCCCTAAGCAGTTCTAATGAGAGTGTTTCTTGGGGTCACTCATCTGATGAAGGTGTAAGCCCAACTGTAAAGACTGGATATTTGTGCTCTTGGGTCACATTGTGTCCCAGTCAGTTACTCTGGGCTTCTTGATATGGTAGTGGATTGCAAAAGAAGCAGGAAAGTGCGCAAGCCCACATATTCAAGCATTTCTCAAGCCTTGCTTGCGTCATGTTTACTAATGTCCCACCGGCAACAGAAAAGCACACAGGAAAGCTTGGAGCCACTTTGAATTGTATCCCTATGATGTTGGCACAATTCTTAACTCTCATTTTTAGATAAGGAAATCAAGAAATAAAAATAACTGTTAAATGAATTTAACAATAGGAATGACATTACATTATATCCTTGCAAATTTCTTTCAAGTTTGGCTTAGAAAAAGACAATGGTTCTCATCTGCTTCTGCGTTCATTCTGTTTTGATATGCTATATTGATTAAAGTATATGAAGAAAATATAGCTTCACACAGATGTTTAGTAGAAAAGTATTTTAATACTTCAAAGGAAAAATATTATAATAGCTTTTTTTCCCAGATAATTGGGGGTATTTTTTGATAACCCACCAAAACTTCAGCAATGGAGTACAGAGTATGTGCGTTGGTCAACAGAATAACTTGAAATTATGTTTCAAACATTCCACAGTATAGATGGTTCAGCTGGGAGGTTTTTGCTTTCTGGTGTAATCACAACAATAAATAGAAATACTCTTCCCAGGGGCCAGCTGGTCTTGATAAAACAGCTGTGCTTTTTTTTTTTAAATCCTTCTCCATAGTCTACCCCACTGTTGATGCACACAACCTGAACTGAAATCCGTTCTAATTCTGTGGTGACTGTCAGTTCCTGGAATTTCTCATCATGTCAGCCTTCCCTGACATCTTTAATGTCTTGAGCAAATTCAACTTAGAGCTGCAACTTACTTCTAATAATTGTGAATACCAAGAGCCTGAGCATGCAGCTATGTGAACTGTGTGACAGCAGGACGAGGAAGTTGTGATGTGCCCCTTGTGAGAAAGTGGGTGGTGTCACTGCCTCTGTTCAGCCATTGGGGGTCATCCTTTCTCCATGTGTAGGAGGGCTTTGCATGTCTTCTCAGCCATGACCCTAATAGGCTAGGCTAGCATACCCCACTGTTCGCAGTAGAACAGATGCCAAAATGAAGAAAATTTCTCATTTCAATAACACAAAAATTATTTAAAATTTAAATTGGGGTGCAGTATAAAGTGAAATACATAGCTCTGAGTAACCTCCAAAAGCACATAATTTTCCTTACTCTTAGTATAATTACTAATACTTATTGACTGTTTACTATAATAGCATAGTGTGCTAATACACATTACTGTATTTTATATTATAATGTAATGTGGCTAAAACCCTTAGGGTAATATCTTTAAGAGTCAAGCACTGTTCTTTAGGCTTTATATTTTTAACTCTTAACTCATTTAATCCTCATACCAACTCCCTGATAATAGATGTTACTGTCCCCTTTTTGCAGTTGAGGCAACTGACACAGAATCAACTGGTGACTTTCCCAAGTTCAAACAACCAGTAAATGTGGAATAAGGATTTGAATCCAGACAGCTGCAGAATGTGATGGATCTGATAGGTCAACTAATTGAAACTCAGGGCCGGTAACCTAAGCTACAAGTTTGGCGACAAGCCCTGAGTAGTTGTCACCTTTGTGAAAAGCACTGGTTATCCAGTCTCTGTTGGAATAGCGACTGGAGCCACCAAGGAGAGAGAGGTGGCACTGTGGTGGGGTAGATAAAACCCTGAACGTGGAATGGAAAATGTCAGTCTTGGGCACATTGCATACATTTTTCTGAGCCTTCACTTTCTCACCTCTACTGTGGGTATTGTAATACCATTTTTTAGGTATGTTTGGGCTTTGTTTTGCCAGTTGTAGAGTGCCTTTGCATCTTTCTCGTCTGCCTTACAGAGACGATGAGGGGACAAGTGAGTTATATGCTAGGAGCCATTCGGATTTATTGTTGCTTTTTGAAGTATTTGCTTTCACCTCCTCTATGTTGTGTTTCATCAAGAGTAAACTATAAAAAGTAATTCAGATTTACTTGGATATTTAAGATATAGATGCTATTCTATAAACTGTATGCATGATCTCCTCTCATTTTCACACACAGCTCTAGTACCCAAGTATTGTATCAAATAGGAGTTATATTTGGTTCTATTTTCTGCCCTACTGAACAGGAAATGTAGTAGGCACGGATAATCCAAAATAATTGGCTAGCTTTTGGTTTGCATTTTTGTACTTAATTTAACTTGCCTATGTGTGGCTAAGAATTCAGAGTACTTAAATATTGAGCCCCTTTGGAAAACCTACCTTGAGATAAGCCATATTTGCTGACTTTTTTCAGGCTTGTCCATGCCACTCTTCACTGTTTCTAGTTCAGGAGCTGAGTGAAGAAGATAGCACGCCTTCCTTTCCCACACACACCTGTGGTAAAGGTACAAATCAAGACCCCATGGGAAAGATGTTTTTTCTTTCTTGTTCCCTTTCTTTTGGAGAGCAACTCCAGATCATGGCGGGAACACAGAAATCTTTCACTTCTCCTTTGAGCAGTGATGACATCACTAAGAAGATGCCAAAGTGTCTGGACTTCTGAGAGGGGCATGTACAGCTCTGGAAACTGCTGAGGTCAAAGCAACACAATGAAAACTTACTGGTCATCATCCTGTTCGTGTAAAACTTTGTGGTGTTCACATTCTGCGTGACTCACGGAGCTGTGCTCAGACCAGCCAGTCACACTAGTCATTGTCTCTGCTCTTCCTGTGTTTCCATTGATGGCAGAGTGACTTTCTTGTGAGCCCCTGTTACCAGTGGCGCATAGTACAAGGGTGGTCATGCAATTGCTCTGCTCTGTGCTGGGCGCACAGCTCTCCTGGTGTTAATGTTTGGTTCTGACACCTTCCCATGAGGGTCAGTGACAATTTTCTAAACTGTGCGCTCTAAAGATAGAACCAGAATGGTAAGGGGAATTAATCAGTAAAGGTGGTTAAAGAGAAATTGAGAGGAAGGGTTGTCTGTAATAAGAATAATTAAATTTCTGAACATCTCCTTTACTAAAGGGGAAATAGAATTGTGACTTAGCACAAAACTGTTTTTGAGCTATTTAGATGTGCTGCATTCTCAGTGCTGCCATCTTTTTACAGATTATGAAACCGAGCCTCAGAGAGTAGTAACATGCTCAAAAGTCACATGATTATTAGCAATGTCACAATTAAAACCAAGGTCTGTCTAATTCCAAGCCTCTTAGCTGTCAGATTTTACTGACTTGCCATGGATATAGAGGTCACAGCCAGTCATACCTTAGGGGACAAGAAGGAGAAGCCTGCTTGAGTTCCCTGGAGAGGAGTACAGTAGCAGAAAATGAAGTGTTACTTACTGGAACTATTGTGAAGAGGATTTTTTCATTGAAAAGATGACTCTAGGGCCCTCCCTGGTGGCGCAGTGGGTTAAAGCACAGCACAAAGAAGCTTAAGCCACTTCCGCATGAGTTCGATCCCCGCCTGCCCTGGAGGTGACCACATGGCGTGGCAGACCTCTCCTGACCCACCCGCTGCTCCCCTCAGCGGTGTACTTCGTTGATCTGATCTGCCTGTTCTGCTCCCTGCTCTGTCTCTGGTGAATCCTCTCACCCTCTGCATCTTTGGCCTGTACCCCAGGTCTGTACGAATAAATAATAAATAAATAAATAAGAAAAGAAAAGATGACTCTAAAATTATCTTATGGGCCTCTTCCCATGTGATCTTCTGAGCTCTTATTCTAGGTTCAGGCCATGTTCTTTTTATTCTTGGTATTTTTGTTTGATTTCTAGAATGCTTTTTATTTCTTTAAAAAGAGATTTATTTATTTATGCATATAAGAACTGGTGTGTAGGCCAGAGGTGTGGAGCTGAGAGGATTCACCAGAGATAGAGTGGGGAGCAGAACCATGGATCTACTGAAATACACCTCTGAGGGGAGACGCGGGCAGGACAGGACACACGCTACAACATGTGGGTCAGCTTCCTGGCCAGGGATTGAACTTGTTTAGCAGTTACTGGCAATGGCTTGATAATACTGTGTCTTTAACCTTCTTCCACCAGGGAAGCCCCAATTAGAACTCATTTTTGACCATTCTTTGGTGACTTCCATCTTGCAGGGATTATTTCTGTTCCTCAAAATGAAGTTTTCATAGAGGCTGTCTCACTTTTCTGATTGTGCTTTGCTTGTAACTTCAACATGATGACAATTGAGCAGCATCTGTGGTACCACCTTAAGGGCTCCTTGGACTGTGCTGAACCTATACTGCCCTGGGGGGACAGTGTGCTGCCAGTCTCAGTTACCCCTGTACCCCTCTGTTACACAGACCCTGGTCTAAGATGCTTAGATTTTAGATGCTCTTCCAGGACAATCCACTGCAGGTCTTGCTGTAGGGGGTTGAGTATCTCATCCCTTGACAGTAGGATTTTAGTGATGGGGGTGACTGAGGGTGACAAGGGCTGGGTAAAAAGCTCATCTTCTTGTACTGCTGTTGTCATCTTCCAAGGTCATAAAAAATGATGGAAGATGCAGGCCCTTCCTGGTGGCACAAGAGGTTAAAGTAGAACTCTATGAAGCTAGAAGCCACAGCCACCTCAGTAGCTCTGTCTAGGGAGCTGACCCACATGGCTCAGCAGGCCTTTTCTCTCTCACCCACTGCTCCCCTAATGTATTTTAGTGGATCTGCCTGTACTGCTCCCCATTCTGTCTCTGGTGAATCCTCTGACCCCCCCCCCAACCCCGTCCCTCTGGTCTACACCCTATTCTTGTATGCATAAATAAATCTTTAAAAAATTAGTGTAGGATGCTTATTTTTACCCAAGAGTTTGACAGACTCATGTTTTTACATATTGATATTTAATTTTGCAAGGTTACCATCTAATTTAAACATTTCTAAACAATAGTTATATTTACAATTTTTCATGAATAAAGCTTGACATTTTTTTTTGTAGCTTATTCACCTTGATGAAGACTGTGTAATAGAACTTTCCGTGCATCACAGAAACACCAGACAAGCAATGGAGGACTTAATTTCTTTGGTAAGAAATACAACATGAATTTGCTCTTTATCTTATTTGTACATTAAACATAATATAGCGTTTCACAATTTTATCATGACTGTAAGCATTGCACTTATTTTATGTTGAAGTATGATTTCCACTCAACTTGTTTCTAATGTCTGCTGGTTATCCTTTTTAAAAATGACATTTACTAAAGAGGACCGCAGAGGATAAACAGAAAAAAAAAAAAAAAGAAAGAAAACGAAACAGAGCAACCTAGTCCAGAGAAGTGGCAGAATTCTGATTTTGATTACTTTGAATTCTCTAACATGGACCATGATCCTGCTGTAGAAATCAGGTAAACAGAAAGCAGTTTTTTACCTGAAAGCAGCTTTGTGGCACTATATCAAGCTTATGAACCAGATGCCATGAAATCATTATTATGGCTTCTGGTGTGGATCATTTTAGTTTCTGATGTGAAATCTGCAGATCACACAGATTCCCTCTCCCCTCCCAGAAATGGAGGCCTTAGAGCTGTCTGAGTATATCCAGCGTGATGGCAGGGATCGTGCCGTGCTTGCTCCAGTTCCCTCAGTACCGTCTTTCATTACCTGTGATTTGTATGTTTTTTTTCTAACTTGCAAGGTAGATTTCAGCTATCTTTTTTTTTTTAAAGGAAACAGAGCTTTACTTAGCCACAGGTTTTTTGTTTGTTTGTTTTGTTTTGTTTTGTTTTGTTTTTGTTTTTTAGTGAGAAGAGAAAAGGAAGGAAGGAAGACAGTGGCTGTGTTGGATAGTGGGTTGATATCACCGGAAAGTGTAGCTAACATGTTGATTTATCTCCTCTGTACATCTTACTGTAATGAACAGTACATTTAGAGGCTATGGCAGAAAAGTTATAAAGAAAATGCTTTTTATTATCATGCTTAGTGAAATAAACCAGAAAGAAAAAGAAAAAGACCAGATGGTTTCACTCATAGCAGGAGTGTAAGAGATGGGGGAGTGTATATATATATGTAACAATTACTATATATATATTATAGTTACTATGTATATTACAATAATTATATGTTACTATGTATAGTAATATATCCTAGTACAATTTATTACAGTTACTATACAATATAGTATACAATTTATTATAATTACTATATATGTATACAGTACTATTTATATAGTTACTATATTATATATAGCTACCTAGAATATAATACTATATATAGTTATTATATAGATAGATAGAGAGAGAGAGAGAGAGAGAGTAATTGTAATATAGTAAAAAACAACATCAACTAACAGCTATAACCCAGAGATATCTATGGGGGAAGAGAGGGGAACAAGATCAAAACTGGGGTGGGAAGAGTACATGTGACTATGGTGATGGCACATGGGTGAAGTGGTGTTGGGAAGTTCATGGGGATTACAACTGAGATGAAAAAATGTACAAAATGAAGAATAATATAAAAATATATAATTAAAAAAAGAAGATGCTTTTTTAGTCTACAGAAAGAGAGGGTTTAGGAGTGATTTTAAAACTCACAGGCATGCTAGAAAACTATCTATGACTCTTAGCACTGTGTAGATAATTTTTATAATGCCTGTGGTGTTATTGATAAGCAAATAGCAGTTTGTTTCTAAATTACTGTCTTTAATCCCTATGACGTCTTTTTCAAAAATGGTGTCTGCAAAAAGTGCATGGATGATGTAAAAAAATTCTTCAATGTAGTTTTTGGAGGTTAGATATGGAAACAACTCAAATGCTCAAAATAGATGACTTGATCAAAAAGATGTGGTATATATACACAGTGGGATACTATTCAGCACCCAAAAAGGATACACTTAGCCATTTGCAGCAACACAAGTGGAGCTAGAAAGGATCATGCTCAGTGCAATCAACTAAAAGGAAAAAGAAAAATATCGAATGGTTTCACTTATAAGAGAGTTATAGTGGAATCAAATAAGGGATCAGGGGAAAAAGATAATAATAATAATAAAACAACAAAACTAGCAGGCAACCATAAATCAGAAATCTTTATGAGGGAGGGGGAGAAAAAGGGATCAAAACAAGTAAAGTGTTGGTGGGAATTTTATGGGAATACATAATGATGTAAAAGATATAAATACAAAAATTATAAATAAAAAATGTAGTTTTGGGGAAGTGGAGAATGATTATGACTACATAGTCATCATCTTGCTCCCAAACACCTTCTACATAAAACCTTGTCATTCCTTCCCTCCACTCTGAATTAAAGGCAGCATTCTGTGATAATTTACTATAGTATTTTATACTCTCCTACTAGTTTCATATATCCATTATATAAATTTTGAAGCATTTACAGTAATTATATCCATCTAGACTATTTATTGACTAAACTTACAGGTGGTAGTAGGCCTTCTTGGATCATATACTCTGTGAGGAGGTATATAGCTTTATTATTAATATGATTCAGTATTATTAAAATGTAACACTTTTGCAGGGCAGAGTCTTATAATCTTATACGTATATTATTTAGAAACATTCAGTTAATCACAGTATATTGAACAGATATGTTTACATCTAGCATTTCCTAAAATCTCATTAAAATAACACTAAAGCCATAAACATGCAAAACACAAAGATGAAGAGAATGGGAGACAAACGTTGTATCAGTACAGTTTTGGAGATTATGAAATGGATAGATGGCAGCTGCCATAGTATTTTGAAGAAATCTTAAAGCTGTGTGCCCTCAGTAAGAAAAGGCAATTAACAAATTGGTTAAAACCCTAGAGCTTCAGGAAGGCTCAGGAATCAGAGATACTAGGAACCTCTGATGTCAGGGAGGTGTGTCGAGAGGGAAATGGGAAGATTGGTTGAAAGTCTGATTTGGAACCCTGAGACCCTCGGTCCCTTCCTCTTTCTCATGCTAATGACAGCCAACAGAAGCTTGGAGACACTGGACAAGGGGTACCTCTTTTCCAATCACAGCTAAGGGGGGCGTGGGGGTGATGAGCCACTTGGAAATGGATACATGGACACATTTAGTCCTTATAATTCTGCAGTGAGCCTTCACTTCTAAGTCTTTTCCCTACTACACTCTTGAGAAAACTGGAATCAGGTTTTTGTCCTCCTGGCAGTGGGGCTACAGAAAGATTGGAAGATTCATCACTAGAGTGAAAAGTCAAGAAGCCTACTATCCCAGTTGTGGGGAATTCAGTTCCTGTCTGTTCACTGTAGAGAAAAGTCCCAGACATGGGCAGACCCCAAAGTCACACTTTAGTTAGCTGGTAGTATAATTCTTATTTCTTTTTAAAGGATTTATATATTTCATGCATACAAGAACTGGAGTATAGGCCAGAGGTGTGGGGGTTGAGCAGAGTGGGGAGCAGAACAGGCAGATCTACTGAAATATACTGCTGAGAGAAGCAGCAGGAGAGACAGGAGGGGTCTGCTGTGCCATATTGGTCAGCTCCCTGGTCAGGAATCAAACTGCATCAGTGGCTGTGGAGAGCTTCATGGTGCTGCACTTCAACTCCTGTGCCGCCAGGGAGGCCCTGGTAGTGTAATACTTCACTTCACTTTTATAAAGAAGTAGTCAGAGGTTACAAGTCATTTGAGGATAGTCTTTAATATGAAAGTCAGGAATCAAAACAAATGGCATTGGGTGGAAGTAAGATGGGGAAAAAAAAGTGAAAATACTCAGAAACAGATATTGCGGGAAGTGAAAGAAAATGGCTAAGAAACGATAATGTTCTCAGAGATAAGAGAACCTATTTCTTTCTTGAAATAGGAACAAGATGATTAAACAGGAACATTTGAAGAGATAGCTCTTGAAAATTTTAAATATAACCACAGAAGTGAAAAGCTCAATAGAAATGTTTGAAAATGAAATTAAAAAGAAATCTTTCAAAAGTAGAACCAAAGACAAAGGGCTGCACATATAGAAAAGAAGGGATGAGAAAGGTCCAACAAACAAACAGGTAAGAAGTTGTAGAGAGATAAAACAGAAATAAGAGAAGAAACCATAGAAGAAAACAATGAAAAAAGAAATACGGCAGAATTGAAAGATATGCGTTGCTAAGCTAATAAGTTCACCAAAGCTTAGCAAAATGGTTGAAAGTGGATCTGTAGGAATGTCTGTTTGAGTGAAACTTGAGAAAATTGGGGAAAGGATATGATCCTGAAAGTTTTTGAGAGGTAAGCCAAATGATCATGCTAAAAGGGTTGGGTGTAATCAAGTAAAGTCAGAAACACTTTAGATTTTTCAGTAAGCTATACTAAAAGCAAGAAAACCGGGCCTTCAAAACTAAAAGTGATTATTGACCTAGATTTCTGCGCTTAGCTAAATGAAAATCAGGAGTGAGGTTAGAATGTAGATATCTATCAGACCCCAAAAAATGTACCCCCCATTCACCCGCTTTCTGGAATTACTGGAAGGTGTGTTTCACCAAGACAGCAATGTAAACCACGAAAGAGAGGAGCTGGAAAAGGGGGATGTGTGGGAGGCAGATTCAAGTTGCAGGGATTCCTAGGCTGCCAGTTGAGTTGCAGGCGGAGTTGCTAGTTCAGTGGGGCATCATCAGGTGGAGTGTGTCCAGAAGGGAGATAGAAACAGGTTAGCTGATGTATGGGAACATGTTGAAAGGAGGAGTGAATAGTGTTGGAGAGTTGAATTAGTAGCATGATCACTGCCTGTTTTATTTTTCACTTCAGGGCAAGGAGTTCAGAAAAGGAAGGAAATGCAAAGATAGCACTTTTTGTAGTTTAGCTAGAGGGCCAAACTTGTTGTTAAGGTACCAGAATATTAATATACTGATTGGTAAATGGCTACAACCCAAGTGCCCTTCCTATTGCCCTTTTGTGACCCGTAGGACCCTTGGGTGCCTCCCCCCAGTCTTTCTCCCCCATCTAGTAATTAAAAGGTTAATTATTGGCATGACAGTATCATGCCAGTAATTACTTCTTGGCCTCTGTTCTATTGATTGTTGTCACGGTACCAAGTAGATATTTTGAACATTACCTTTACTTAGTTGTGAATACTTTTTTTATAATCATAGTAAGGGAAACATTAATTCAATTAAAATTGTGATAAAATTATCGTAAGAAGATTCAGGGAGGAAATGTGTGGAGATGGAAGGAGTCATAGTAGAGCTAAATCCTTATTTTCCATGCTGGGAAATCTGAAGCTCAATACCAAAAAACTGCCAAAAAAAAAAAAACCCGAAAAACAAAAAACTTAAATGTCTGTCTAATTATAAGTACAGGAGAAATAGTTAAACATGTTTAAAAGAGGATCCTATGTTTTGGGGTGGATAGGAGGTTGCTAATTTTCATTTTATGCCTTGTAAATCTAAAACAAAAACTAATTCTGAATGTCTCTTGCTTGAAGGGAAAATTAAAATAGAACATTACTTCAAAAACATGGACTTTATTTTCTTCCAGTGGCAATATGATCACCTCACAGCTACCTACCTTCTGCTTCTAACCAAGAAGGCTCGGGGAAAACCAGTTCGCTTAAGGCTTCCTTCTCTTTCCTGTGGACAGACATTCACAGACATTAAGGTAAATACCCATTTTTGCTACTTCCATGTGCCTATCTTGCTCACAAGTGGAAACACCAGTGGTCAGGTTAACTTTATGGTGACAAGGAGCCAGAGGCAAAGCATTTAATGATTTAACATTTTTGATTAGGAAATAGGAAATTCTGAACTTGAGCTCTAAAACTCTAAATTTCAGTGACATTAAAAAAATCCTTCCCTCTTCTTTTAGTGTCATAAAAGTAATTCCTAACTGTTGTAGAAAAATTTTAAGCCGAAGCTAAACTAAAGGAAAATAGAATTTATCCACACATTTATTATGTTTAGGTAATAAAGCTCGTATTTTACTCTTTCCAGCCTTTTTTAGTGTTTATTTATGTACACAAAAGAGCATGCACAAGGACATAATACTATTGAATTACACATAATATTTAAAAATAATTGGGAATCATATAGCTGTGACTCCAGGATACATTGTATCTTACATGACAGTAACTATTTTAATGACTATTTTGATACTCATTTATGTTAAGGGTTTATGTTTTTGTTCTGAACAATAGCTATAGCTCTTATAACTCAAATTTCTTACAAGAATTACTTATTTTTCAGTTTGTCTTCTTGTTTCATTCTCCTTTCTCATGTATATTTAGAATAATGGAGAAAGTTTAGATATTTTGAAGCATTTTGTCATTCCTAAGTCCTCATGTTAATTTCTATTTTCTGTGTGATCCCTTGTATTTTTCAGGGCTTAAAACTCTGCCTTCCAAACACTTTCCCAGGTGTGTTACTTTGTAATATGATTTCTCCATAGTGTAATTCAAGTTGCAATTTAAATACTTTTAGCATAAGGAAATGTCTTATGTTATTTTCAGAAAGAGATAGTTGGCCTTCTTTATGGAATCCACTGTAGCCCAAATAATTACGTAGATGAGGTGATTTTTCTTTTTTTTTTATGTCTCAAAACTTAAAAATGTTAAAATGCCAACTGTTTCATTATCTCTTATTGCTCTCCTCCCTTTCTCCCGGAATTTCTTTCACACCTCATTTAGATGTCTCTTTTTTGTCACTTCTTAATCAGCAGGTATAGTGGGTCATAAGGCCTTGGTAGGCCGAGCCAGACTCCCTTCTCCCCACCCTGATCAGTCTTTTAAACAAACTAAGAGCTAAGTGTTAATGCAAGTGGCTGTTGTATGATGAAATCTTTGAAGTGAGACAGGTGAATTCTGGGATGGTTTTCTAGTCCGTTTTTGGAGAGTTTTATTGGTGAATATACCATGCCCAAGGGCCTCTCTGGTGGCACAAGGGGTGAAGTCTCAGCACTATGCAGCTATCCACAGCCACTGCAGCACAAGCACCATCCCCAGCCAGGAAGGTGACCCACATAGCTCAGCAGACCTCTGCTGTCTTGCCTGCTGCTACCCTCAGCAATGTATTTCAGTTGTTCTGCCTGTTCTACTCTCATTCTGTATCTGATGAATCCTTTCACTCCCCACACCTAGCCTGTACCTCAGCTCTTGTATGCATAAATAAAATAAACCTTAAAAAATTACCCCATGCCATGGGGGGCGGGGGGAAAGTGCACTGGACTATGATGATGGCACATGGGTGAATTGGTGGTGGGAAGCCCACAGGGATTACAACTGAGATGGAAAAAGGCACAAAATGATGTAAAAATAAACTATTATATTATTAAACAACAACAAAAAAATACCCAATGCCCAGGTAGGCCTTTTACCCATGAACTCCAGGGGTAGCCTATCATCCATCCTGCCCACACTGTCAATCCTTTTACATTTTGAAACTCAAATGAGTCGGGGGGCACAAATATATGACCTTTGCCTCTGGTGAAGGTAGTTTCAGAAAGCTAAAAGACAGCTCTGTCCTAACCTTAACTGAGTTAACCTGAAGTTACCACATTAGCTAATTTTTTTAAACTTGTGATTTGTTTTTCTAAGCCATTGTATGTTCTTATATCTGGATTGCCTTGATCTGATTTCAACTGTTTATATGATTCATAAAGAAGGAAAGATCTGAAAAGACACTCTGACCTTCCATTTAGATGGATAAATAAGAGTTTAATTGTTTGGGCATTCATATTATTGAATCAATTTGTATAGCAGATTTTTTAAATTTTATAATTTCCTTTATTTATTTTTATAATATAATAGTTTATTTTTACATCATTTTGTGACTTTTTCCATCTCAGTTGTAATCCCCATCATCAAATCACCTGTGTGCCATCACCACAGTCCAGTGCACTCCCCCCCCCC